CTTATGCAAATACTATACTATTGCCCATGTCAACACATGCTCATGTCCCAACGGTCGTAGCCAATTAGTTTAGACCAACTGAACTTATATCTTTATATATCTTAAATTCGTATTGCTTTTTAGTTAACCTCAAAAAGGTTAAATTCGTGGGTCTAAGAAGGTTGACTTAACGTGTTATTGCAAGGGATTGAAACTTGACAACGTTAAGGTCATGCAGTGCTTGACGCAAATTTAAAAAAAGCTAAGACCTTAGGTCCTTGACGACGTTTTTAGATAGAAACGTTATGAAGACTATATGTCAATAAATAAAAATTGAGAACTTAAGTGCAAAAAAAGGTAAATTGAAGATTGTTGTTATAAACTTTTTTTTAAATGTTTCACTATTTTTATTCTGAAATCGTTGACCTCGAATTCAGATATACTATTTAGGTATTTATAAGATCAATCTACTTGTCCGACAACTTCTAATAATTATTTAATTAATCTCTTTCTTGATTTCTTAATTGCAATAAGTGCTAAATAATCAAAAAAATATTATTTAAATTTTTTTTTAAATCTTAGTAACGGGTCTTCATCAATTTCAAGATTATAACGTTGCCAGTTTGACCTAAATTCTATCAAAATACATTTTTTCAAAACTTATTTTCAATCACACATTTTTTAATAAAATAATATTTTTCATCACATCAGTAACTTTTTCTTACTTTTTAACCACATATTTTTCATCATATCACTATTTAAAATACATTATTTTCTCAATAATATCCATCAAACACAGAAGCGCAATGTATTAAAAAGGAAAGGAAAAAAAAAAAAAGACTAGATTTGACATGATACAAGAAACTTTATTAGGTTTCTTGTTTATTAAAAAGGTTTTAAATTGATAGTGTACTTCTCCAATTTACTTTTCATGCTTTAATCAATGATCAACTGTTATCGGCTGCTAACATAATTTGCAATAATTCTGAATTGATTGTACTAATCTTATTTATTTTTCAACGCTTTAACTGATGATAAGAGTGTTATGGATAATTGTTAACATAATTTTCAGTAATTGTGAAAGAATAATGCTTTGTGTACAATTCATGGTTGACAAGAAATTTGACAATCTATGTTAATTCAAATTCGAATGGGCGGGAAAGTGAGTGGTGATTAAAAACTGGCCACTCAACCTTCAACACGTGGCATAATGTCAAACTTGATGTCAAAAAACTTATACTTGTAG